GTTCCAATATGCGTTTTTGCTGCCTGTTGCAGCGCTCTAGCGCTGCACGGCAAAAACGCATAAAGAGGGAGGGAGGCGGGAAGCAACACTTTGAAAGCAGTTAAGCAACTATGTTATTTTTCATAAAAAATCCATCTTTTTGATTATTTCAGGTGCAAGCGCGGAAAATGCACTCTACATGATGGTACTAGCAATTGGCGTCAATTAAAGTACCAACCGGATATATGGAAAAGGCACCCTGAAGAATGGTTGGCAAGATGCAACTTACTGGAAATAGCGTTCATCAAGTGCGCAAAAATGGCAAGCAGCTGAAGGCTGGATTTCTCGAGGAAGATCCTGAGAATAATGACATGTTGGCTGGGGTGTCTGAGGTTTCCCCAGAATCCGAAAAATCTGATCAACTTCAAATTCCTGATAACTACGGCTTGTTGATCAACATTCATTCTCATGGATCATTGGCCCTGTCCTCTTTTGTGATGCTATCCGAACCATTCCAGCAATATTATAGACACTGCTGCTCAGAATTTCGGATACTTCCGACTGAAAATAGCATGAAAACCCCAGAACATCGTGCTGCAGTAACTTACTCCATTCTAAAACTACTATTCGATCTCGGTTACAACAGCCAGGAAATCGCAGTCTCCGGCCTGGATACACTGATACTTTTGGCTGCATGTGATGCCATGAAACTTCCGGATACCTGTTTTGTGTGGAAACAGATCAAGACTCTGATGAAACAAGCTGGGAAGAATAAAGCAGAAAGAATGCAGGCGATCCTAGCTAAAATGGATATCAACTTCCAAACAGCAAGGATTCTGGTCAGTATGCGGGGCTCGAAAATCCAGAATCCGGAATCTGTCGTGCAGGCAATTCTGAGCGATGAAATTGATGAAAGGCGTTTTCTGAACACTCGGATGGAGCATTACATGGTATGTGGCTCGACAAATCATTTCTATCCAGGGACCAAAATCCAGACGCCTCAAGATTTCTTGGACTTTTTCTTATCTCGAAAAGATCACAAGACTTTTAAAACATGGCAAAATATGCTCCTTCAGAAAAACACCAGAATTGGTAAAAATTCCGGGAATTTTCCAGGAACTTTCTACCTTGGCTCAAACCCTTCAAGTCCTAGCAAGCATGGAAGTGTGGCAACATCCTTGCAAATTAATTTAAAACAGGAATATCATATGTTCGACCATCTAGTACAGAGCAGGAATGTCCTCTCTGCTGCTACACTGCTCACAAAAATTCATGAGGCAATTCAGAACCAAAAAATTCTGGAAAATGTAACCTTTCTTTCTCCTGTAACTTTTACATCCGAAGATAATTTCCTTGAGTTTGAAATTCGAGCCTCAAAGAAGACATGTTTCCTGATTCATAATGATAGAAGATGCGTCTCATTCCAGTACACGAATTTCAGTTCCATGCCAAAAATAAGTTCCGAAATTAGCCATCAGCCTGAAGATCCCAAAAGCAATGATACGTTTAACTTCGAGGACAACACTCCTGAGGAACATGAATCCAGTAAGCCAAAAAAGCATGTCATATACCGCAATTCAGGAACAGTGGGAAAACTAGAGCAAGGGACTGTGATCGAAGAAGATGAATTTTATTCGGTAATGAAAGAGTGCCACTATGAGTACCGTGGTGAGTTTCACTGTGTTCGGCGTTTAGAGATAAGAAGTGATCACGCCATCGTATATCTAAAGCAAATTGAACATCTTGATGTGCTAATTGATGGCACTATGCAGTCAATGGTTTTCACTTATCTTCGGCAGCACGGCACCAATCGGGCCAAACTAGCTACCTTGGTACCTTTCCACATGCAAAATTTTATGATTATTGATACTGAAATGGAATTAACTCAGAAAACCAGGAACAGCTCTATGGTCGCAAGGGCAATATTCGAGATTCAATGGCAAAACGATCAACTTACAGGATCGTTTGAACTTGAAACTGGGAAAGCTGTCATCGCAGCTAAAGAAGTTAGCTTTCGTCCGGCTAAACATGTCAGCTTCACAGGCTCATATCCGGAAAAAGCGGCTGTCCAGGAAATCCCTAACAAAGAAATGAAAATTGGTCAAAAGCGGTTGCTCGGGGATATCGAAGAAGGCGTAAACCGAACTAAAGAAGAGAACAATATTCTACAGAAGGCTGTTACAACAAAATCAGTAGCCAGGAACAGAAATCCTAGTAGTTCAACAGAAAGAGAGAATGGATTACATCAGCAATGCGAACAGAAATATCGCACAAAGCAAGACACCTCCAGGATCAAGAACCCCGAAAATTCACAAAGCAATCTGGAAGGAGTTAGGATCAACGATATGGCAGGATATCAAAAGGAAATTTACTTGAAATCGTTTGCGTGTCGGCTACCAAGAAACATCCATGATCCGGCGGGGCTTTGGGACGCTCTGAAAACAGGTCAGCTAATGGCAGAGAAAATTCCTTGCTCGAGAATCGAAACACGAGACCGTCTAGCTGATGGACGGCACTATGGGCATCCAATTAAATGCGCCAATTTGCTGTGCGAAGATGTGGCTCAGTTTGATGCCCAGTTTTTTGGCATTTCCAAAAGTGAGGCGGAAAAAATGGATCCTCAGCAGCGGTTACTTCTTGAATGTGTCCAAGAATGTATGGAAAATGCTGGATTGAAATCACTGGAAAATACCGGATTTTTTATCGGTCTGATGGCAAATGAATATCCGGATCTGGCACGAAAACATGCCGATGTAGTATCCATGCTTGGCTCAAGTGCAAGCATTGCAAGTGGACGGTTGAGTTATGTTTTCCGAAGTACAGGTCCAGCGGTTACTCTGGACACTGCATGTAGTTCGTCATTAGTTGCACTGCAAACGGCAGTTGCGGCACTGCGCAGTGGGCAGTGCAAAACGGCAATTGTTGGTGGTGTAAATTTGATTTTAACTGAGGAAAGTATTGGTCAGCGTGCAAATGGTCACTTATTATCCGAGGATGGCCGCTGTCGAAGTTTCGATGGACGCGTAAGCGGCTATGGAAGAGCAGATGGTTGTGTAGTGTTTGCTTTATCAATAGATGATGGAGATGAAGTGAGCGACAATTTGCCGCCCTATGACCAGCGGTCATCGACAGTGGATTTCGCAGAAAAATCGCCGGCCGAGTGTTCAGGCCAAATATCGAAACGGTGCGGTAATTCAGGAGATCGACACGCGATAACCGTTGCAGCAAATGTAACTGGACACAACGGCCGAAGTGCATCACTTACAGCTCCTTGTGGTACTTCCCAGGCGAGGCTTCTTCAACATTGTCTTCGGCAAATCTTACCGTCTGAGCAGGGAAAGGTCGACTACTGGGAAGCGCATGGTACCGGAACTTTACTCGGTGATGCAATCGAACTGAAGGCACTGCAAAGCAGGCTGAAACATCCGTGTGTGGTCAGCACCGCTAAGACACACTTTGGACATTCCGAAGCAGCAGCAGGCGTTGTTGGTTTGGCCAAATTGTTCCTTCAGTTCGCCCACAATTACATTCCGGAGCACGGATGTTATGAGTTTTCAGAAAACTTCAAAAACAGCCAAATCTATTTGCCAATTGTTGGTCAAGAATGGGATGGTCAGTTGGCCGGGCTGAGCTCATTCGGCATCAGCGGCACCAACGCAATGGTACTTTTATGTCGTTCGATTAACAAAACTCCCAGATCTGACAGCTCTGGACCTGCTGACCAAGCAAATCTACATATCTGGATTTGTCCAGTATCTGCTGCTAGCACAAATTCACTACAGCTGTTGGTCAAATCCTATCGAGCTATGCTCAATGAAAGTTCCCATGAAACAGGTGCGATTTGTTCGGCCGCAGCGCTGCAACGGAATCATTTGCCGCACCGGGCTGTTTTCGTAATAAGACGAGGGGAAATGCTCCGAAACGTGCTTTTTCAGGATGACAACACAACAGAAGAATTTCAGTGTTCGGAAAGGATTGGCTTGGAAATATCCAGCAGTCACTGTCTTTTCGCAATTTATCGCCTCTGTACAATTTTTCCTGAATACAAAACGAAGTTTTGTACCTATTTTCGGTTGATGAAAGGTTTCTTGAAACAACAGCAAAATCGGGACCATAGGGTTTTCCAGAAACTTTGTGGAATTCAGGATGTGATTACTGTAACGGGTATCGCAGCACTGGTTTCGTTTGTACAGGATATTGGTATTGAATTGAACGGGCTTCATGTCCATGACAATCGAGCGCTCACTTCTGCTCTTCTACTAACGGGTAAATTGACTATTACTGCTGAAAATACTGCAGATATATTCTGGATAGCCCCCAAGATGCGCATTTTTACGGATATGAGTAGGAGTAGAGCAAAAAATTATAAATGGTACTCGCTATTAACTATAGATAATCAAAAAATCGCGGAATTCGACCAAAAATGGATGAATTTCATCGCCCAGTCATATCTTCATGGTAGTAATATCGTCTGGAAAAGGATTTACTCATCTGCTTACCAAAATATAGTATTACCGAATTATCAATTCGACCGAAAGCCCTACTGGATTATCCAAAGACCCGTAATCACCGAACACAGACTTCTTGGTAGATTGATAAAGATACGAAAAAATGAGGTTCTTTTCGAAAATCAACTCAGCCAAATAACTAATCCAGAACTGTTTGTTTTCCAGTACGGAAGGCAGATTCGCATGACATTCGGGATTTGCTGCGAAGCTATTTTGGAAGCAGTGCGATTGACCCAAGCGCTTAGACGCAAAAAAACTTACAAGTCAGGCGACTGTGAACAGCGAGGGTTGATACTGAAACACTTGAAGCTGGTAAAGCACTGCTTGAAAGACGGCGCATGGTTTCGAACAAGCGTGTCGAATATGAAGGATAATCAGAAAGATTATTTTGTTCGGATGACTTCCGGCACGAAAGTGATTTGTGACGCGCGAGTTCAGGTGAATGAAAAGATGAATATCAATAAGTTTGAAGGATTGGCCAAAAATCAGAAACAAAATTTCAGGATTTGTCCTGACTTTTATGAAAAACTGAACTCAAATGGATTGCTTTACAAAGGAATTTATCAAGTTATCAGCTCCTTATCACCCGCTACGAAGACATTTGTAGCAAAATCGTCAATTACAGATTTGTATGTTGCGATCGAGATTTTAGTGCAGGTTGCCTGTTATTACGATCTTATCAGTCCAGACGAAATTTATGGATCAAGCAAATTTCGGGTCATGAATCTGAAGTATTATCGGAATCTTTCCAGAACTGTGTTTGTAAAGACGGCACGCACGCAGATTACACTTTATAATGAAGGTTTGGAGCTAATTGCAGTAACTTTCAAAAAGCAAGACAAAATGACGAAGTTAGCAAATTCCAGGATCAAATCCAGGGAATCTGACTCCAGATCCACCCAGCATTCCCCACCTTATCACACTGAGGACAACACGTACCAGGAATGCATCGAGAAGGTGAAGCGAGCAGTTGCTGATATACGGAATAGTGGATTAAGCTGTGACAGTGAACAGCAACTCTCGGTATCGTTCATCGAACTCGGTCTCGATTCGCTAGCAATCACGGATTTGGCGAACCGACTACAAACTGTTTATTTTCCAGGCTTACAGATTAATACAGTGGACTTATTCAACTTTTCCAGTATCAGCTCGCTCGCAGAGGCTATTTATTCCCAAAAAATAGCAGTGGATTCTGGCGCACGAAAACAAGTCGGAAAGATTGTTGACCAGCGCTCACTCAGTGAAACTCCTGGGAAAAATAAAAAACAACATTTGATGAAAGTAATAATCCAGGACACTGAAGATAATCATAAAGAAGTAATCAAAAATCTTGCCTGGAAGCAACTTTCTGTGGAACGGAAATTCGAAAACCCTGAAAAAGCAGTCATTATCACGGATGTGGAAAGAATTCCGAACAAAAATGAGTTACTGCTTATTGCAAGTACTGGGAATTCGAAGAAAAGTGAATCGGAATCGAAGTCGGGGATCATGTACCTGAATGGAAAGAATCCCGAAATCACAGAAGAAATGATTTTAGCAAAAATAAATAAGTGGAAACTTATTACTGCAACCTTTGAGCTAAGTAGCAATTTTCCACTTCCATATCTTATCGAAATTTTACTTTTACTTGCAAGAGTAGTGAATAAAGTGAAGTGTAAGTTTGAGTTTCGTCCTAAGCCAGGAAATGGACGTGCGAATGCTTTCGCTCTGGGATTTACCAGAAGTCTAGTGGCAGAACTGTACCCGAAAACCCAATACAAATGGGATTTTTGCTTGGAAAAAATGATTCTTCCAGAATTGACCTTTACATCACCCACGGCATCAAAGCAATTATCACCTACGGAAGAACGCTGGCTTGTCACTGGTGGTTTAGGCGGTATTGGATGGCAAATGGCTCAGTGGATCGTCAAGAATCGCACGGTCTCACATCTCTTTTTACTTGGTCGGCGCCAACCAGATGCGATAAAATGTCGTGAAATCAAGAAGATGCGTCGGGAAGGTATTAATGTTCAAGCTGTTTCCGTAGATTTGACATCTGGTGAACAGGTGCGCAGATTCTTCCGCTCACTTCAGGTATCTTTGACCGGCATAATCCACAGTGCCGGAAATATCCACGATGCCCTCGCTCTCCAACAAACTACATCAACGTTTCATGAAGCGGTTGCGGCAAAATGTGACGGATTGCTGCATCTGGCGCAAATGTGCAGCACGCATCCACTTGAACATTTCATCGTCAATTCATCCATTTCAGCAATAATTGGAAATCGTGGACAATGCAACTATTCGGCTGCCAGTGCTTATGTGGATGAGTTTATGCTCGAACGAAATGCGCAAGGTTTCCCCGCAACAACAATTAATTGGGGTAATTGGCTCGAAACCGGCATGGCCGCGAATATCAACGCAAACCTACATAAAATGGGATTCACTGGACTGAAGACGAAAACAGCAATGGCGTATCTACAGTATGCAATTGAGTATAAACCCGTCAGACTTGTCGTTGCTGCAACTGACGTGCGCAAAATCCTGCGGTATCGCCCCGACTTGTTGCCAGTATTCGAGGGAGTAATTGGGAAAAATAGTCTACCAGGAGTTTCGAACCGGGCTTTTCAAGAAGAGGAAGGCAAATGTTCAGAAAAACACAACTTGAATGATAAACAGGGAAACGTGATCTCCGAAAATTCTAGCGGTGCAAGAATGTCTAGCGAATTTTCCATCCAGGAAATGTCCAGGAAAAAAATCAAAGAAAAATGCCCGGAAAAATTCAGGAAATATCAAACTAACAACAACGACATCCACCGTATTATTTCGACGGTAGTTCAGATTCTAGAAGAACTAACTGATGAACAGGTAACAGCCGTAAATTTCACAAAAAGCTTCATGGAACTTGGCCTCGACTCTTTCAAGATGTATCGCTTTGTCAGCGCTTTATCGCAGCGAATCAAATCTGCACTTCCGCTGAATATTTTAACAGTTTTTGAAAATCCAACCATTGAGCAACTTTCACGGTACATCGCAGCAGCACCTCACGAAATATGCGCAAATCCAGGAACTGAAGACCGCAAAGCAAGCGATTTAAATGAGACGAAGAGCAACGTTGTACTTCAAAAGAGCCGAGAGAAAAATCATCCAGGCATTAAATCAGGAATTTTTCACTTCCTTGTGCTTCGTGAGGAAAATCTGGAAAAATTAAACATGCTCAGAAGTGCTTATTCCAGTCAGCTTGAAAAATCATCGAAATCCTTAAAACATCTGGAAAAGCAATGGTTAAATGCAATTAATGCGAAAACCGGAATATTGCAAATTGCTTGGGGTTCGAGGCGTAAGAATTTGAAGCAAGCCTTAATGCATCCTGAAACTGTTTCTAACTGTGCCATGATGAAAGAAAACCTTGGAGAAAACCCGAAACAGCCCAAACTGTGTTTAATGTTTACCGGTCATGGAAGCCAGACCTGGAACATGGGGCGACAACTTGCTGAAATTTTTCCCGTTTTCCGGCAGATATACGATGAAATGCTCCTACTCGCCGATAAATTCATGCCACCAGAAAGTGTGAGTCTCCGAGATGTACTGCGTCGATGGAGCTACCGCAGTCTTCTGTACAAAACTGAATACGCACAACCTGTCATCTTCTGTTTTGAATATTCATTGGCGAAGCTTTATGAAGCTTGTGGTGTGCAAGGAGATTTTTTCGTTGGACATAGTGTTGGTGAAATTGTTGCGTATACGGTAGCTGGTCGGATTACCTGTAACGAAGCGTTGAAACTGGTGGTGCAACGTGCTCAAATTCTGGCACAAGTGGACGGCAAAGGCAAAATGTTTGCTGTGAAGCGTGGAGATGCCCCGAAACTGCAACACCACAGCGGCATGAGCAGGGCAGCCGAAAATAGCCATATGCAAATTATTTTGTCGGGCGATAATCAAGCCGCATCACGCTGCTTGCGTTTTGCTCGGAAACGTGGGTACACGGTTACAGTAATCGACCACCGCTATCCGTTCCACAGTGCGGCAATTTCAAGTGCTTTAGAACAAAAATATACATCAGTTTGCAAGCAAGTGCAGTTCCACAAATCCAACACAGGAAAAGTTGTTAGTAATAGAACTGGAAAATTTCTAGATGACGAGCACCTCGAAACTTCCTGGAAACTTTTGGCTCCAATAAATTCACCAGTGCTTTTCAAGAAATGTATTGAAACACTTCGCGATCATGGTACCGAAGTATGGCTTGAAATTGGCTCTGGCGAAGTGCTCAGTGCAATGGTCCGAGGGATTCTTAACCAAAATGTACAGGTTTCTTCAGCTATAGCGCCTGGCAAGCAAGAAGTAGATTCGTTTATCGGATCACTCGCTACGCTTCATAGATTTCACGTGCGCGTTTCCTGGGAGAAAATTTATAAGTGCGCGAAACCGCTGCGAAAAATGTCCTTACCCCAGTCTCCTGTGGAAAAGAGAGAAAATTTACATTTTCCGGAGAGACGATATTTGGAAAAACTCGCCAAGCAGCACCAGATCAATGGCCTTGTAACGGTTCCAGCAGCAGTGTTTGTAGCTATATTTGTGCAGTTCATCAATGCTAACAGCAAAACCAATGGCCTCAAACCTGGGAATTTACGAGAGAGCGGGATTTCTTCAAGTGAGAGCTGGGAAATAATTCTGGAGAAAACAATATTCCAGAAACAGCTGCATAAAGCGGATTTGAAAAACTTATGGATAAATGCAGAAAATTTGCACGAAAAATTACTGGAATGCGG